GGCAGAGAGTAACGCAGCAAGGCTACGCCATGGCCGTGGGCCTCGGGGGGTTGTTGTCTTCCTCTCGGTACTGCTGCCTTCCTCTTGCGAGCGGCCAACGCAGCGGGCGAAAGAGAGAAGACGCTGTCATGTGGTTGTAGATATATGCTCTGCAGGAAACGAGCTCGCGTTTAGAGGGCGAGCTGTAATGTTGCGGTTTATTATTTAATTACAGGACTTGTAAATGGGCTTAGAAGTTTGATTTCAGGAGGCCGGAATTACCTGCCGCTCCGGGTGAAAAGCTCCGGCGTCTGTCCGCGCCCTATCGGGACTGTATAACGTAGCTGGTTTTAGCTGGGCGTTTTGCTTGCTCCGGCTTTTAGTTTGTAGAAGCAGGGCCAAGCGCTTGAAAAAGAGCCGGGCTCAGCCCTCCTCCCCTGGGCTGGGCCCTGCTGGCTGCCGGAGCCTCCCCGGTGAAGGCAGGGAGGAAATCTGCTCCACCGTCTCCAGCTTTCCTTTCTCACCCGAAGCGCTGAATGCTGTCTTTTGGGGATAGTTACCCCAAAAAAAAAAAAATTCGCCTGGTATGACCCAGGGCAAATAAACCCCTGGCGGTGCGGGGCCTCCCCGGCCCTGCAAGCGGAGCTCGGTTCTTGCACGGCGCTGGAAGCACATGCGTGATTTGGATGGCCCTTTGTCAAAAGAGCTTAAGCGCGTGCTTACGGCTCAGCCAGCGCCGAAGCGTCGCGACGAGCTGGCCTGACTGAACGATGCGGGGCCTCGGCCAGCACGAAGGTGGGGCAGAAAGCGCTCTGAGGGACCGGCGTCGGAGCCCCCGGACGAGCTGGGAAGGGGGTTCTGGTTTGCTCTGGACTTTGCCTTCGCATCAAGTGTCTGCAACCTACTTCGTAGTCCGGAGCAGCTTCCCGGCACGTCTGGATGAGGTGAGAAAAATCAACACCGGGGGGAAAAAGTCTTTTTTTTTGCAGGGAGGCGGCTGCGATGAGCAGCAGGGAGCGAAGGCGTCCCCGGGGCTGAGCCCGGCCCCGCTGTCCGTAACGCTCCCTCCCAACAAACGGCCGGCTCCTTACTTTATCTTTTATCTTTATTTTTATCTTTGCTTAGGGAAAACCTATCACTCGGCGCTTGAGCCCCCTCCCCGGCGCCCGTCTCGGCCGTCCCCGGGCAGCGGGGAGAGGAGCAGGACCCTGGGAAGCCTCACCTCTCAGCTAAAGCCCCAAACGTCACTGGGTTGTACTCGGGCTACTCATTTGCCGTCGTTCCCATTTCATTATGCTTCAGTCTAGCGGCAGCTTTCTCCGTAGGCGGCTGGCCAAAGCCGGGAGCACATCTGCAGGCAGAGCTGAGGCGCGCGTGTGCATACGTTCAAAAACCTCGCCTGCCTTCCTTCGCCACGGGGCGGAGGGGGAGCAAAGCGCACACCGTCGTCTACCAAATCGTTCCTCCCCGCTAGCTCCCGCCCCAAAGCTGCTGTCCCTCCGCGGGAATTTGGCACCCCGGCTTTTACAAAAACGGAGGAGCGTTTGCCGTGGGAAGGGGTCTCTGCGGACACAAAGAGACCGAAGGAAGGAGCAGAAGGAGGCGTTTCCTCGGGCAGCGGGTACCGGAGCAGAGATGCCGGCCAAAATTAGCAGCAGGGTGCGGATAACATAACCCACGGCGGGGACGGTGAGGGTCAGCGCGTGGCAACCAAAGTCCCAGCTGCACGACGCTGAGTAGAGGCTGTGTAACCATCCCTCGGCGAGAAGAGCCCGTGGAGGATCAGGTTAAAAGCGCTAAAATACTCTTTTGACGTACGCTAAGGAATAACTTTTCTCTCTCCTGAATGTCATGTTTTAACAACAGCCTGCCTTTTTTTTTTTTTTTTAACGTTGTATAATTTTAAACCACTGCGTTCAAGCAGATGTACATTTGGCATCCGGATAGACAATGCAACATAAAGTAACAATCATCTAATTCCTATCCATCTGGATTTGCCATATAAATAATTATAGCAAAACACCTTTAAAAAGGAGACTGGGAGAGGATGAGCGCATCAGCAACAATGTGCAATAAACGGCGAAAGAACACGTCAGAATTTGCACAATGTGACCATCTCGATCCCTTGCTAGAATTCAAGAGTGTTAAAAATAAAACCCCTTCACGTTTTGACTATTTACACAGCTGTAGCATAAATATTTAGATTTGCAGGAGAAACGCTTGCTCAGCCAAAATCCTTCCGAGATCTCTGGAGTCAGCAGCGAGGGACTTATGGAGGCCCAACGTTTCCTTGCAAAAACTAAAATCGATAATAATTAAAGCAGAGAGTAATGTTGCCGTAGCAAAGCTCAGCAGTTATGTAAAACTAACTCGGCTCGTATTCTTCAGAGGGGTGCACGCAAAACTCCCCGCGAGGGCTTTTAAACACAAGTACAAGCTGTAGAACAAATGCCATGTACGGGATCCATGTTTATTTACTTGCATTTTCACTGGCGATAGTTTAGTGATCGCTCCTGCGGCCGGGAGCGCTCGCCGCCGCCGCCACCACCACGCTCCCCGGTGAACCGCCTGCCCGCCCGCTCGCCAGACCTGTCGCGCTGACGTGTAAAAATTGCCGCCTTTCAAGAAGAAAGTCAGCCTTGAAATCCACCCGTCACATCTCCCTGGCTCTGCAAGGGGGAAGCGAGGTATTGAAGAAGTGCAGTTTCTGACCCGTCGGTTCGCTCCGGGAGCCGCGTCTCGGCACTGCTCCTCGGTGCCCCGAAAAACGCTGTTTCACGCCGACACCTGCTTCCCGGCGGGGCAGCGGCTTGTAAAAATGCCTCCTCCTCTGCTGGGCTGAAACTCAGCAACCACCACTTGTTTAGAAAAGAGAAAAAAAAAAAAAAACCCGAACGCTTTAATGGTTCGGGATGAAACGTAAAGACCGCTCACTCCAGGCTCAATCTTGCTGCCTTTGGAGCCCACATGGATTTGAGGGGAAATCGACCCCCAGCCCCGCAGGTGGTCGGGATGCTTAGGACGCAAGGAAGCCAGCGCAAAGCGAATCCCGGTGCCGGGACCGTCCCCGTCCCGCACCAAACCTGGCTCCCGCAGAGGCATCCCGAGGCGGCTGGTAGCTCTCGGCTGCCTGCTCTCGCAGAGCCGGCACCGGGGGTTGTGTTTGGGGCTGAAAACCAAAAAACGACGTGTACGGGGGAAGCAGAGGGAGTAGGTGGGGAGTGAGGCCAGCAGAGACGCCCCGACCCGGGCAGCCTCATGCGCTGCTGCTGCTCTGCCCTGCTCGGAGACCGCAACGGGCTCAAGGGAACCCATCCCCGACTCCTCTGGCCTTTCTTCCCTTGGAAAAAGCCAAATTTGGAGGCAGGGCTCTGATGAAGGCCACGCCAGACCAGTGCGAGGACACATGGGGGACGCTGCAAGGGGAGCTGAGCTCTCTTTCACTTCTCACGCTGTACGGATGGGCCTTAAATTGGTGCTTTGAGCATTGGCCTATTTGGATTTTCAATGCGTAGGCATAGGCCGGATATGCAACGTACAGCAGTTGATTTCCACCTTGCTGCGCCCAGTGGGAAGCGGGTGGCCGGCAGCCTGGCCCGCGGGCTCGCTCGCGGGAAGTGACATCCCCACTGGCCGCCCATGGCTGAATGCAGGACTAGAGCCAGCCATTTGTCGCAGAGGTCTTGCACCATGCTGGCCATGCATTGATGTGGTACATCTGCCTTTTGTGGGGTCTGGGCATACTTTTTTTAAAAGAAAACATTTTCGTAACTATTGATGTATTTGGGATCCACACCGAAGTGATTAGCACACAGCTGAACCGTGGTGACCCCCTACCTGTGTTGCAGACACCTGAGCCGGGTGGTGTAAACAGCAGCCCCCTTGCCGGGAGGCTTACAGACTGGTCATGGCCAAGGAAAGTATGGATGAAAGAAAAAAACTATATATGCATGCATCACATCATGTTTTTCTCCCTATATTTTGCTAGCATAAACTTGCATGTGGACCTCAGATTATCCTTTGATCACTACTTGCTAGGGAAAAGGAGAGATATGGCTTTTACTGCTCTTGACTATTACGTACACAAATGCAGCATTATCCACCCCATTGTACAGATGGAAAACTGAAGCAGAATGACATGCCAAAGGTCACCCAAGGTTTTGTAGCAGAGCTGGGAGAGGCATCTCGTTCTTTAGTTAGAAGCCCTTCCTTCCTCATTGAACCTAATTTATTCTGGAGGGTGAATATACCTGTGTCTTTATGGCTGGAGCAGGATGGAGAGGAAATGTCGGGACTTCACTTCATCCTTGTCAACATGTGGCACCAGTGTCCCCTTGGACACACACCATCTTTCATGCCAGCCTTGTGAGAGGGTCCTCACTGGTGCTAGCTCTTTCCAGGAGAATGATTGCAGCCTCCTCCCCTGCTGAAAGTCTTTAAGTG